AGTGAATTGATAGAAGCACACACCTGCAGTTAAGGTTTGTACGAAATCATGCCTCATTGATGATGACACTCACTGCCGTATCATGTTCAGCTCCTTATCACCTGGAATTAAAAGGACACTTGCATGAGGGAAACAAATTTAAAAGTATAAATGGCCCGATAAAAAAAAATGGTTAGCACTTAACTTTCTAACTCAAGGGATAGCTGTGAATGTAGCATATTAGGCAGAGGATTTGTCCATGGCATGTATACTTGTTTTTTGTCTTCGCAAAAATGGATGACATCGACGATTAGGTGACCAGCATGTCGGAGCAAGAAAAAGTATTTTTCCTTGATGATGTTGCTGCGGCAAAACTCTTGCCATCCTTCAGCAAATGACTGTCGATGAAGCTTGATAATCCATGTTCTATATCCTTCTCTGATGGTTAGCTGGCTACATCGGTGTTTGATTAGAAGGGCTTGAAATTGAATAGCCAAAGTCTGCAGTTCAAATGTAAATATAAGCCGCATGAGAAGCAATATCAGATGGCAAGCTATGCTAGTAGCAGCAGAGTGCTAAAACATCTTAATACCTGGTCAGGCTCAGTACATCTAAATAAGAACCAGCATCCTTTTGCAACCCTATCGTTGAGGCATTTCTTGGTAGCGCTTGCGACAGATTGATTTTCTATCCATGGAACCCAAAACCGCTAAGCAAACAATGGCAACCACTTTAAAACACAATCGCCTTGCAAGAGATACAACGAGCTTCCCAACAAGGCAGAATATGAATCCACCAATAAGGCATTAGCACAATGTGAATAGCTTTACAAGGGCTAAGCAACAACGGCTATAGAAAGTTTTTTAGGTGGAACAGAAGGTGGCGAAAAAGCTAAGTTTAAAAAAGGCACCGGCACAACCCAGAAGCATATGTATGGAATGAAAACGAGAAGCTAACAAAAAAGAGATAGCAAAGAAACGAGGGGAAAGCAATTTCAAAAGCACCGGATACACATAAAAAAATGCATGCAAGATACAAGCGGCGGAAAAAAAGGTAAAAAAAGAACTAAAAGAGAAGCGGAAAAAGAACACAACAGGTACCTTTTTTGTTTTTTTTAGAGTGAAAACTGAAAGAACAGCTACGACGGTGACGCCAACACGAGCAAAGGACGGACATCAGTACGGGGTAGACCAACGCAGGAGCAATAGAAAGTGCAGGAAGGTCACATACAATGGCAAAGAGAAGACTAAAAAGATGCCGCAGAGATGCCAAAAAAAGAAGGCCAAAGGCCTAATAATAAGGACGAGAATGCAGGATAGAGAATTTATGAAAAGCAGAGAAGAGGAGCACGAGAAGCTGGCAAGACAAGTCTTGGAAATCAAAGAAATTATTAGGTTGCAGGCAGAGCAAACTTTGGCAACCAATACAGAGCATGCCAGTAGAGACGAAAATGCAGTTCTTCATCGTCGTTCACAGAAAGGTGGGAAGGGAAGTTATGAAAAGCAGAGAAGAGGATGCACGAGAAGCTGGCAAGAGAAGTTTTGGAAACCAAAGAAATGATTAGGTTGCAGGCAGAGCAAACCTCCGCTACTAATGGAGAGCTTATAGTAGGATTTAATTCTAACAACCAATAGTAAAAATAACAATGCAGCTGCCACCGAAACAATATATGATGTTCACGAGATAAGCAGTCCGCCGTTTATACAGATATAAATAAAAGCGCAAGGATGCTTGCTCAATTCCAAAGCAGAGGGAGATATGCTGCTCATTAACTTCGCCATTTACCTGCCGTTTACACATATAAATGAAAGGAATGATGCTTGCTCAATTCCAAAGCAGAAGAGGAATCCGGCTTTATTATTATTATTACTACCTTAGTTCCAAAATAGCAATAACAACTAATTCACATGTGAGACTCACATGGAGGACGACCACACTCTCAAACAATCTGGCCGGTTTATACTACATTTCTAAATTATTTAGTCCTGCCAAAGACAATATAATGACATCAAAAATGGAAGCAGAAAGACCGGCCGCCATTACATTATGATTTATGACAACCTCACCCGAACCACCCCTCCTCACTGGAGCGTGGCGGAAGCCCAACTTTTTATCAACAGGCCCAAGTCTTGACCCAATTCACTGGTTCTTAGGCCCAATCTACGAATCTGAACTTTGTTTGAAACACTTGGGCGGGAGTATGGCCTGAATTTAAAATTAACAAAGCCCAGCAGAGGCCCAGTAACTCTGAACATTATTAGCTAAGCCGATGATCAGCTCAGAGCTTCGTCGTTGATAACGCAGTCGGTCGGTCGCTCCGCATCAGCTCTCGACCTTCAGGTAAATCTAATCTCCCCTTTCTTTTTTTTCTTTTTTTTTTTTTTTCACTTTTATCCATTTCCTTCATTTAACATTCGCATCACAGTTTAATCATTTCTCGAATACCGAAGCTCCATTGTGACGCCGAGGGTTTCGATTCGATTCTGATTATGAATATCAAATTTGATTCCATGCTAATCGAATTGAATCCTGCTCCTGGTTTGAGCCTACAAGGCTCAGTTAGCGTTATGATTTGAATCAACAAATATGAACATAATTATTATTTTTTTTTTTTGAGTTTAATTTCCACTCTCGTTTTGTGTGTGTGTGTGTGTTAGGGTGAAATTTAGCAGAAAAGGACAGGAGAAAAAGGGGGAAAAGATGAAGTTTATAATGGAATTTGCTGAGAACTTGGTGCTGAGGATGATGGAGGATCCAAAGGAAAGGGATAGGAAGTTCAGGGAGCACTTGTACCATTTGAAAGACAGGTGTAGCAAGACCAAGGAAATGTGGAGCCTCCCTCTTCGTCCTTATGGGTTTTGGACCTTCGAACGCCACAATTCCCAGATTTTCTGGGATGCTCAGATCAGCCAAGTTCCTGGCCGCCGTGATCCTTATGATGACCTCCTCCAGGGTGCCTACAATGCGGATCCTACCTCCACCCAGAAATAGTATGTTCAGAGTTTCCACTTGTGCAATTCAATGCGTGTGTATAGTTTGCCATGTCAATGCAAGTAATCTCTTGTTGTTTGTCTGCATTCGCCAGGGTGGGGGCATCTTTCCCCTCTTTGGGGGGCTTGCTTGAATTTTTATCTGTCAGTATATAGCTTTTTGATCCGTTCAATTTCTTTTAAGTTTCACTTTATATCATGTAATGCTGTGTTGATAGAGGTAAACATTTGCTATGCATGGTGTGTTGCACATTAAACAATTGTTTGTGAATTACTTCGTGCTTTGCTCTCGAATTTGTCTCAATGATTTCTGACGAACCAGCTGAGAATTAGTTGAGCCTCTTAGATCATTAACAAACTATCTTACCTTAGATCTGCAATTTTATTTTTTTTTGTACTTCATTTGGAAGTGTGTTATAAGTGCTAGCTCTAAACACTTTACTCTCTTCTTCTAGAAAACATAGTTCTATGCTGCCTGCTGGCCTTTCTCTTTACAGGGATATGCATCTTGTACTCTTTCCGCCGTAATCTTGTGCTGTCTGGAATCCTATTCGCCTTTTATCCCCTTGCTCTGCATGCATAAAGATGCTTCCTCTAGAAGGTTGTCAAATGTTTATAAGCGAGGCCGTTCACTAAGTCACAGGTTTTTTGTCATGTTTTTGTTTAGCCCTGTAACTTGCGACTGATTTCTGTTTTGGTGTATATTACCTTTTATTTTGCGTACCACATTCCACTTGCTTTACAGCCAAAGTAGTCTTAAACAAGTAACGGAACAAGAAAGAAGAGAGAAATAGAAAGAAGTGTCAGGGAATGTTGGAGTGCAAGGCTGGAGAATGGCCAGTTTTGGATTTTGGTTTGCTAGGAGTGATTTTATGCTAATTCTCGTTAACACTAAATAGCTTATTTGAAATATTATTTTAAATAATTACTGTAACACTTTTTGTGATGTGATATATGTGAGATAAAAAGGTAATTGAGAAGATAAAAGGGTGTGTTGGAAATTATATTTGTGATGTAAACAAATAATTTCTAGCCATTATTTGGCTATCCAAACACACACAAAGTTTTTTAGTTGAAAAAAGAAAAGATACGTGGCTGGAGCAAACCAGACATCCAAACGATCCGCATATTTGGAATGTCCACAAAAAATTCGTGTTTGGACAGTTATGTTTTGGCTTCAGGATTGAGTTTCAACTTTCGTTTCTAATTTTTAAGCAAGACATGAATCTCTGTGATTGAGGACTAATATTTATTGATGTTTTTCTATTTGCAGGGTGAGGGTAAACATCATGGGAAGTACGAAAGAGACAAATTGATCAAGAGCTTTGTTGATTCTTGATGCTTCTGTAGCGTCAACCATATTCAGACTTGTCAATACTTTCCCAACTGCTTTAACTCCAATTAAGGATGTTCAAATTGTAATGTTGTTACTTCACAAGCTTGCTGTGTTTCCTTTTAAGTTTGCTGATGACTGTCAAGTTGGACTTGTCAAGGCAACCATGCCCCGATGTGCTGCCGTGTTGCTACTAATTATTTGGTCGAACACTTGCCTGAATTCTGCAGATGGTAAATTGCAAAGGCACACTTTCGGGCATTACGGTCTGCCTCCAGAGATTCAGATGGTCACGCACCAATTCTAATCTCTGTTAGCATTTTAGTTCTAGAGAAAAGCAATAATCCAGTCTATTGGCATCCAAATACTTCTATCAGAATATTTGAGGGTGTGGAATGTTGATCCAAAATGTATGCAAATGACGTCCGGGGTATGGGCATTTTGATGTCTTGTACGCGGAAGCAACTTTTTCCGGGATTCTTTATATGATATGGATTAAAATAAAAATCGAGCCTGGGTGATACGCATGAGAGCCAAGCCCAGCGGATCGAGCCATTGATCCCAAAGGAGCACATCACGCTTAGAGGCCCGAAGATACAATTCGACGCGTTGCTCACCCCTTCAGAAACCAAAACCAGCATCATTCACAATCACGCCTCGGACAATGTCAACAGCACAGAACTAAGTCAACAAAATTCAAAGACCAATGACTAGATAGGCAATCATTAATCTTGGACAATTTGCACAAAGCCAGATGACCACACGAGTTGGGTTTTTTATAACCGAATAGGAACACAAAAAAGAACTTCATACCATATTTGACAGGAATATTATGAGCGACTTTACAAAGACTGTCTACCCGCTCCAGCAGAAATTACTACAACCAAATTCTCCACAACACACCTATAACTGCCTCTTCAGAGAGCACAAAATCATCATTCTAGTCTGTTTCACTTGAAGTAACCCCAACATCCTTCTTTGCTGCAGCTGCCTCAACTTGTTTATATGCCTCCGCCACATCCTCAACAGGAACTGACGGGAAATAGCTGAAGATATGATAACCCCTACCATCCAGCTTTGCTATAAATTTGTTATATTTATTGGACACATCAGCAACAGTTGGGATAGCTATCCCTCCGACACCGTGCAGGGGCGGATAGCGATTGATGAGTCTATGCCATAACACTGCTAATAGCCTCACAGCAATGTTCTTGGACAGTGAAGCAGCATGACGAAGGGCTGCACGAGGACCACCAACTTGAGCTTGCTGGACCAAATCTTGGGCAACCTGTGAACCCTTCTGGACTACATTCTTTGCCCTATTAACAATCTTCTTGGCCACCGGTGGAGCATGCTCATCAAATTTCTTTGACACATTATCAACCTGATACCACAAAGCAACATTATGCAGTGAGACTACTGCCCACCACCCCCCCCCCCAAAAAATAAAACACCACCCCAAAAAAAAAAGCATCTGTAAATGGATAGGTATCTGCAAATCTAAGTACTTTTAATTAAGGAAAAATTACAAAGCAAATAGCCACATAACGGTTAACAGAAGATAATCCTGTGCTTGTCATCAAAATGACAATTGTAATGAATAAATCCACATCCTGTTATAAAGAATATGAGAAATGAAGCACACCACACATCTAATTGGAAAAAAAATAAATATCCACCATCACATGATACTGTGATGAACAAAATTTAGCAATAGCGGGCGAACGGCAACAAATGAAAACATCAAATCAGAAACAATAGTTAAAGCAATATGGAACACAAAAAACTGAAAGAAGTGCACAAATCAAATCAGAAACAATAGTTAAAGCAACATGGAACACAAAAAACTGAAAGAAGTGCACAGAAAGTCCCGAGAAATTGTCCACACAAGAGACGCTTGAACCGTGAGCTAGGTAGTGATCATATAAGGCTTGAAACTGGAAGTAACATAAAGAGCACAAAAAATGCATCAGGACATTACACCAAATATAAACATTATATTTGCATCAGTCAATTCCTGCACCAATACATCACCAAGGCTTCAGGCTCTAATTAACAATTTTATCAGAACATTTCACATCTTAACCCTTTAATGAGGATACTCTATAACCCAATTCAGATTGGAAAAATTATGTAAAATCATATATATATATATATTCAGACCGTCCAAATCCCACTCATTTTGCCCAACTCCTGATTAACCAATTATCATCTTTGAATATATGAACACAAATCAACTGAAAATCAAAATCCCAAAATCATAACAGTTTCTTATCAGACTCTTTTCAAATCAACCAGTCAGTCTATCAAATTAATTGAAACTCCACCTTCCAACTACACACACGCAACTAGCAAGAAATGGAAAACATCAAAATGATCAATAAGAGAACACAATATACAACACATAATCGATCCAACTAATAGCACCTTTGTATCTAGACGAGCAAGGAGATCGTCAGGAAGGCCCTTGAATCTTTCGTAAACAGGGCCTACGACGGTAGTAACGGCGTTCTCCACAGTTCCTACGGTTGATTTCAGGGGTCCAGAATTTTGCTTGGCGTAGTCGTACAAGCAAGAAAGCCACACCACGGCGATGCTCGCCATCGCTCTAACAAACCCTAAATGCTTCAGTTCTAGATCGCTCGTCTCCATCTCAACCTACAGAACCCACAAAAAGATTTCCACACAGAAAATCAATCAAAAGTTAACAATTTAATTTTCATTTACAAGAAAAAAAAAACACGAGTATATGCAAAGAGTCGTACCTTATTCGAAACAATTTTTTTTTTTTTTTTTTTGGGTCGCGCCGTACTAAATACTGCACTGAGTAATTGGTGGGAGGGTTTTACTCACTTTTAAGTTTAGTAGACTGAGCTAAGCTAAAGCTGCTAAGCCCAGGGGCGGATATATCCACACAATAGAGGTTTGGGTGCGATTTTGGAGATAATCTGTATGATCCGACGGCAAGCAAAGATCCACGTGGAGAATCTTTTGTCCTTTTTAAAATGCAGAAAAGCCCCATGAACTTTCATAGTTGTTGCACAATACACCCCAAAATATTTTATAAAGCATTTTGTATCCAAACTCTACTAAAAAGTAACCAATTTTTATACAACATTTACTTTACCACTTAAATGATAGCTGTATCTTCAAATAATAATTGAATGGACAAAAGCACCCTTCGTGTCCGGTTGGCCATTATGTTACATGGAGAGCTGTTCAAATGTAAGGCAAAAGAATTTGACTGAACTCGTTTTCACTATCTCCATTCTTGAATTTGCCAACCAATTTTGTTTTTTTCTTCTTGAGTTTGCTATTTTAGATTCTTCAACCCGTTGCATGGAAAACTCGTTTTCACTAAATAGTGAAACAGCAGTCATAAAAATGATTGGAATGTTTAGGGATAAACTATACGTTTATTATATCTATGTTGGAGAGGTAAATGATAATGGGGATACAGAAAATAATAATAAGGGTGAGTAAGATGGTAATAAAACTGTAGTTAATGGCAATATAAGTGCTAATCAGGGAGTTGGGAATAGTAATGATAGTTTAGGGGCAGGTGAAGTGAATGATAGTTTTGAACCAGAGGTTGACCATGATGTAAATAAATTAAAAATATAATCTGATGAATCATATATACTTAAAAGTGAGAAATCTTTTGAATTTGACTCATATTTTGGTTATTTCTTAGATGGTAACACATTAAGTTATCGTTGTGATATTGGTGATGATACTACTGAGGTAACTAGTAGGTTGAATAACAATATTAACTTAGAACAGTATCAACAATATACTAATTTAATTAGTGATAAGTATAGAACCTTTGTTGAGGTTAGGAAAAAGGGTAAGTTTGTTGAGCATGAAAATATTGTTGATGCTAAAGTACTAGAAACTGTCATTAAGTCATCTGATAATGAAAATAGAGAACAATTTCATGAGTTTAATGAGGAAAGAGACATAACTAATCATAAAATTATGATATGCCTCATTTTCACAACCACACATGTGTTTAGGAAGGCAATTCAGATGTATTCCATCCTTAAAGGTTTGAGTTGAAACTCCAAAAAAATGATAGAAATAAAATCATTGCAATATATAAAAAAGACTATGATTGTAGGATATATATATAAGTTATTATGGGAAAACTGAAGCATTGCAGAGCAAGAGCATAAAGGGCACCTTTTATAGGTGTCCTTGGTCTTTTAAAAATGTAAGTGCAAATTCCAAATGGTTAGTTGAACACTTCAAAAAGAAAATGGCTGATGATTCTGATTGGAGACTTAAGAAATTTCAAAAGACAATTAAAAGAAAGTTCAAATCAAGAGTTTCTAGATGAAAGGTGTACAGGGCCAAGAAACTTGCACTTTCTAAAATGTCGGGGATCATGAGAAAAAAAATTTCAGACTTAGAGATTATTGCGCAACCATTATGCTGAAAATTCTGATTCTGTAGCCTATGTAATGATAGAAGTTGTTCCAGCCTCTGCCAGTCTCATATTTCAGAGAATGTTTGTTATGTTTGGGGCATAAAAAATGAATTTATCAATGGCTACAGACCGATTATGGGTTTAGATATTTGTTATCTTAAAGGATGTTTTGAGAGACATTTAATACATGCTGTTGAGAGGAATGAGAATAAACAAATATATCCTATAGCAATAGCATGTATGGAATCTGAATGTAAGAAAAGTTGGCATTGGTTTCTAGAAATTCTGGCTACTCACATTGGATTACCAACTAACATGAATTAGGTGTTCATTTTTTTATAAACAAATGGTAAACTTGCCATTTATTTTTTCCAATATTCATATATTAGTTTATTACTGCTATACAATTAAATCCAATCGGATTGATGGTGCTACTGTTTTGTAGAATTTAGTAGAGAAATTTGGTGTGTTGTTTCCTGAGGTGGAACATGGGTTTTGTGTTAGGTATAAATATGTCAATTTTGAACTTAAATGTAAGGACAAGGCACTTAGAAATATCATGCAGGCTGCTGCCAGAGCATATGAGTTAGATAGTTGGACACAAAAGATGAGAGAACTCCAAATTGCTAAAAGGGAAGCTTTATGACTGGTTGAGTGCTATTCTAGCTCATCTTTGATCAATGTGCATGTTTAATCCAAGATCAAAGTGCGATATTTTGAGCAACAACATTAGTAAATCCTTCAACCAGTATATGAAGGGGGCAAGAATGGAGTCAATGTTATATATGTTTAAAACGATTAGAAGGCTTATCATGTATAAATACCAAGAAAATAGAGAATTCATATCTAAGGTCAAGGGAAAAATTTGTCTAAGAATCCATAATAAGGTGAAGGAAATTACAGTATGAGCAAGAGAATATGCAGCTATTCAAGCGAGTCAAGGTATATGGGAGATCACAGGTTATGCATAGCATAAAATTGTTAAATTGAATGCAAGAACTTGTACTTGTAGAGAATAGGATATAATTGATGTTCCTTATGTACATGCATGTGCAATAATTATAAATTCTGATCAAGAACTAATAGATCTTATCGATCCATACTATAGTGTAGAGTACTATAGTAGAACTTATATATAAGGATATGGTGGTTCCTATTCCAAAAAATAGTCTATGGGCTCAAACAGATGGATTGCCGATTCAACCACCAAAACTAAAATAAGACTTGGTAGACCAAGAAAACTACCAAGAAAAAGTGCAGATGAGTTAGTGAATGGTAATATGATATCTTGAAAGGATATTATAGCTCACTATAGCAATTGTAATATGCCTGCCTGGTCATAATAAGAAGATATGCAAGGAACCAACACAAGTTGTGTATAATGCCTTAAATTGTGTTTAATAATTTCTTTACTTAACTTATTTATTTATTTGGTTACTTTTGTAGGATGAAGGTACCACTCAAATAAGAAGAGGAGGAGGTATAGCTTTATCAAAAAATATTGGTGAAAGACCAAGAAAAGTTAATGTAGACACACAGAATGTTAATGTCAGTGTAACTAGTGGTAATGGAAGAGATAATGGAAAAGGGAGAACTTATGGTAAGGGAAGAGGTAATGGTAGGAGAGTGAAATCATCAGTTAGAGGCGGGGGATAAGGGAAAAGAATGAGAGGTACATTTTTAGGATGTTCTCCATGACTTTCTGGATTTGAAATTTGAAATGGTATTGGCATGTCTGATGGCAGAAATTTCATCCCAACTGATATAATGATCTAATATTATCTTAGACATTATGTATATTTCTAGACTTTGTCATTTTTAACTTGTACTAATTCTTTCTCATTAATGGTAGGTGGCAAATATGGCCATGTAGTCTTAAAACAATTTTGAAACTCGGACAATTCAAATGGTAAGTATTTCAGCTGTATTTTTGTACGCATCTACTTAATCTCAACTGCATTTTAGCAAACTAATGTCATATGTAACTAGTGGACAAATGATCCCCTGACTGGAGGCTCACAATTTAGCACTAATGCACAAACTAATGAGGATAGTCTAACGACTACTCAAGTATATATTGTTACTGCAATTCATATACATTTTACAGGTAAAGTAAAGTGTATATACATGACCAATATCTTACTTTTATTTGTACAAGATCCAAAGGCATTCAACAAAATTAGGTGATATTTTATTCTTCGATCAATTTTCTAGCACTAGGACATGTGTGCATCAAGACTCTTGAGTACCACCTAATGAAGGTTCATTTAACTATTAGGATGATAACATAACCCGTAAAGGATATATTCATTTTTTGTATTGAATACATACTTTTGAAGGATTTAGACAATAGTTATAATCTTTTTTGTTTGGTTAAATATTAAAATATGATATTTTAGTACTTTGTATTAGTAAGGTGGAAGATGATCTTCCTGATAGTTTATGCAACATGTTTTATCATATTTCATCAAGGAATTACGAACTAAATTATGAAGTTACTGCTTTTGCTCTTTTTTATTGTTACGTTATTTATTTTTTTATATTGATTTCTTTTTTTCTCTAACATGAAACCAACACTGTGATGCTCTTTACAATTAACCTTAATGTTATACTATTTTAAAATATTCATATTACATGGTGTTTATAGCAGGAAATAAACTTGTTCCTTTTTCTTTTTCTTTTTTTAAATTCTGCAATTACAACTACAACAAACGCCACTACAATTAGAGATATCATCTTCCACCATTTTGCAATTTGTTCTTTTTCTTTCTTTAAGAACTCCTTTACACTTGGCCATTGTTTCCTACAATAACTGGATTATAGTTTTGAATTCTTCATATTTGGTCACCAATTAGTCATTTTGAAGTATAGTAGTAACTCTTGCAGCATTCACTCTTTCATATGGTCTTTGCAACTGTTCACTTTATTGTTGCAAATGATTCATTCTTGCCTACATTTCTTCCATTTGATCATACAAATATTCTTCAATTTTCATTCCTTTTTAACATGTTTCAGGTTCTACCTATTTAAAATACACGCATGCCTTAACATTATGTTTTCAAAAACAATTCAAATAAGTGTTATTACCATTGGTTCATTGAAATTGTATGAGATTTGGACTTATCAAATAATTAGAGCATCCTAAGAATTCTCTTCCTGAATTGTGAATGGTACATGAAGTACGTAGAAGTGCTGCTCTTCCACAATTGCATCTTGAGTTGAAATTTATTGTTTCATATGCATTGCTTGAGTTGCAACTATTTGGACCGTACTCTATATGTGTAGAAAACTATACAACATATGTGAATAAGAGAAAATAAAAAGGAAAAAACTATGAGGATATGTGATGGTAGATGAAGACATTTCTATTTGTTTGAAATGAGGGCAATTCTATTAGCAAATTTTGACGAATCGAGCTTGCAAGACACGCTCTTTATTTGACTGTAAAATCCGGGAATGATAGTTTTCTTGAGGCACAAAGTACCTATATATATATATATATATATATTTTTTTTTTTTGAAACTTATTGTGTAATAATTATGAAAGTTCACGAGAGTTTTCACATTTAATCCTTTCTTGAGTTGGGATGTGTAGTTGTGGCTTACATAACGACGCGTAGCATTGGGCAGACGAGTATAATTAAATTTTGTTTTTCTTCATGGTCTTTTGTCGGAAGAACTAATAAATAAATGGAGTGAATAGTGAAGGTTCTGGAAAACCATTGCGTCATCCCGTGCTCCCTACCAAAACTGTGAAGTGCGTGATTGATGAAGAAATTCTAGATGACTCTTTTGTTTAAAATATAATAATACTGCAGAAATTCTAGATGACTCTTTTTGTTTAAAATATGGCTTAGGGCGCCTTTATCTACGCTACATTGTCATAAAAGGTCTACTACCCAAAAACCATAAGGATCAAAGTATTGTCCGTATTGATACTAGTGCGTCGCGGTATCTCGTGGTTGCAAACACCAATAGCTTTTGCTATGGTTAGTCAATCACGCATTATTCCTTTTTTAAAAAAATCACGTGTTGTATTCAGGCCATTTAATTTGGATCCATACCCAAGTAATTTAAGCTATCAGTAAAAACCCCGAGGCCGCTGATCACCCGATGGTTAGCAATTATAGTTTCATTTCTCTATATTTATTCACTCAGATTCCTTAATAGGACATCGAATTAGGCTAAGAATTTTCAGACGTAATCATAACAGACGCACATAAGAACTTCAAAGGAGAAAAGTATATCGGTCTTTGGCAGCACAAAATCCCCTTGGAAGGAAAACTGATAAGGCCATGTCCCTTCGGGGGCATCCGACAGAATTGGACCGATATGGACGTTATTCCCAAGAAAACTGAAATGTTACGCCAGTCAAGGGTTTGGTTTCTGCCGTCCCGGCTATTTTATCGAGGATGACAAAAATCAAAGCAACAAAATCAGATCCTCAAATCAAGTTGTTTGATAAAAACCTTAAGTCCTTTTAAAATAGATAACCACCAAAGTCGTGTCTGTGACGTCTTTACAAAATCAGTAAATGTCGGAATGAACAAAGGAAAAGCAGAACAAAAAACCAAAGCAGAACGAAGACTACCTTGAAGGACCCAAGGGAGATAAAGGCGTAGAGACTCTAGCGTTGTTGTTCAGAAGGCGCGTCAAAAATGCCAGATAATGTTTGCTGTAACTAAAGGAAATGTGTGGCAAAACTGCCAGGCTGAACATTGTAATTTTCCAACAGAATGCCATCACAACAAGCATAACTTATTCCTCGATTTAAAACTTTAAACAAGCATCCCTATCATCTTTGACTTAATTTTCTACTTAATTCCGGACAAACATCTAGTCTAATTCCTAATTAAACGGCCGATAGTTATTGTAAAAGGGGGAGAGGGTTAAAAAAAAATACTAACCTGAGTCCAAGAGTGAATCTCTTGTACTTGGGACAAGAAAATAGACAATGGCCGTAGGAAGGACGTGTCCTCTTCTCTGGACCACACTGATGCTGTTTCAAGAACATCATTCTACATGCTCGTTCATGTCATTTCCTCTTCAGACATACCTTTTCTACACAGATCTATGTGCTCATCTTTCAAGTGGGTCTCCTCTATTCGAGTTTAAAGGACAAACTGCTGCAGCTATTTTCTCTCTAAGGTTGAATTTCTCAGCAATCAATGGCCTCACATCGTCAACTGCAACTAAACTTTCCAAGAATGGAAGCAATGAAATCAACTCTGTATCAGAACGATCATCAAACCAGCTCTCTATTGGTATTCCATTGTCTATCTGAAACCCAAATGCCTGAAAATAAAATTTTCATGTCAATGAAGCAAATGACGAATCTTTTGTTGATCTAGCAGTCAAACTATAACATACTCCCATACCCTTAAAGAGGACATGGAGATTCCCACAAATTTAACACAATGTTAGAACAATCATAATTTAGCTTCCTATCAGACACTGGATGGTCAAACTTTACTCCTCTTTTTTAAAAATATTTTTCTAGCAAGGAAGGAATGGAATTTAAGAAGCAAGGGATCAAACTTCAATTGATACAAAGATTAATTTTGTCAATGCACTTGGTTCTTAGTAAGAAAGCATCAATGCATAAAATCTTAATTAACCTACAAAATGGAGTTAATTCCAATATGAAAAGAAAAAGAAAGATATCAGCACAATTATCAGGAAGCAAAGTAATAACTTCTATAGGACAAATAACTTCTACAAGCCAAATTATCCCTAATAACTTCTATACAAATAACTTCTGTAGGACAAATAACTCACGGGAGGTTTCTGAATATTCCACCCGGCATAACTTCTATAAGCTAAATAAGACAACAAACTATCTCTTCCATCACTAAGCTCGCTGGGAAATTGACAACTGCACAAGGATCATCTTTTCAAAGGGATGGAACAGGGGTATGAAAAAAAGCTTCTTGTGCTTTCAACATAACAGATCAGAATGCAGAAAATAGACATCATCCAAGACCAACGCTTGAGCTATCACCCAAAAACAAAGTGCGGCAGCAATACCTGGGGAGAGTTATCAATAATAATCACATGTGCTAAGTCACGCCCAAGAACTGACAGATCTTTGAGATAATTTCCATCAACAAGCACACAGGACTCACGGAAAACACGGTGGCGAAATATTTTCCTCTTTGGGTCTAGTACGTTCAGAAGCTGCTCAGCATAAATGCTCTGGCTGGCTGTGAAAATGATAATTTCAAAAAGGCCCGATACCCTATCCATGAAATCTCTTAGATGAGGACGGCACCTAACATATACAGCATGCTTCTTCAGGTTGAAATCAACAGAAAAGGTAAAATCTGCATCATCACAAGGTTCAAGTGTGGAGTGCACCAAGGTCTCTGTCAATCAATATACTTTATTAGTATAAGCTATAGTTTTGATAATAACTATGATAGAGTCCAGAAAAGATATCACAAATGCACCAAATGGAGTAAATTACAGCCAGATCTAAGCACAACCAGCATGCACATCAACAAATTAAATTGCAGGTAAGCAAGTGTTCAATTTCAATAGCTGCAAAAGGACTCTGAAGATTATGAGAATTATTAGCCTTCTAATTTCACGTTTAACCTGTGTGTTAACTTTTCTTTTTCTATTCAGGCGAGTATAGATACGTCTTATTGGACAAAAAACAAAACCCCAAACCCAACTGCATTGATCCCAAAGGCAATGGCTTTGCCCTAAATCATATGCAACATATCTGCATCTGTATGGGAGAAATGAACAACTAAAACAACCAAGAATTCTTAAATAATCCTTACCATCCAAGTCTAACACAAGAGTGGTTGAAGGGCAACTCCGTGTCTGCTTGGGCAATAGCATAGGCCGAAATTTTGGGACAACAGAATGCAGATCTGGCAAATTCTTTACAAAAAAGTATGGATCAAAGTCATCAAAGTCTTCAACTTCCTCATCATCATAACATATATCGGCAGACAACTGTTCTTGATTATATTCATCAACACATTCCAAATTTGAATTTTTCATGGAAAGATAAACTGAAGAAATTTCTGATGGTAGAGCACCTCCAAAGTCTGTGTAGCAGTATCACACTATCAGTACAAAGGGAAAAGCTTGAAGAATTATTCTTATGCTTCATAAAACATTTAATGCCTTCTCCATTACCTGGGCAAGTAAGATTCATTGAAGTGAGTGCATCCTGATCAAAACTCTTCTCTTGAATCACATGTGCACTTAGCAAATCAACCTGCAGGTTTTCTTTCCCATGGTCCTGGAAATGCTGTCCTCCATGCTGGAAAAACTTGAAGAAGTCTGATGGGAATGGGAAGTCATGAATCAAGCGTTTAATGAAACCAATTAAGAAATATTACTAGAGATCTTGTGCAAAGATGTCATCAGAACCATTATATGTCTTAATCAGAGACAACGAAAGAGCCATAATACAATGAAAGCATCAAGCTCTACTTCTACCTGCATTTGCAATTTCCCCTCCAATGCTTCTTGAAATATGGAAGCCAGGAGAAAATATAGTATCAACCACTTGATGAACTGCTACATCATCAAAACCCTGCCATATGCAAACAATTCCAAACAAATTATCCAAAACAGTTGATTTATTGATTTCTCTAGGCCTACCAAAGAGAAAGCTATTATAATATTCTGATAGCAACAAAATCCAGTCAGACAAATCCTGGCATAAAATTTTTGACGGAAACCATTATGCTATTTATCATACAGTATAACGTCCAATGGGAATCCATAAAACATAAAGGAACTAAAGATAAATCTTGTCAATATCACTATATTTCACTATTCACCATACCTTTTTCTTGTCATCATGGCCTAAACAAGCAGTGAAATTGTCATCATTCACCAAACCAAGAGACCTAAAAGTGATTCAATAGGGTCACGTCAAAAGACAAACTGATAACAGACCTAAAAGTGACTCAATAGGGTCACGTCAAAAGACAAACTGATAACAGACCTAAAAGTGACTCAATAGGGTCACGTCAAAAGACAAACTGATAACAGAGCCTGAAGCTCTGATAACATGTAAACTAAGGAAAAAAGGAGAGAAAATACTCTTCTTCATCTCTTTGGACTACACAATATACAAATATATATACACAAGTGTAACCTAATTTAGATCCGAAAATCATGCTAATCTAAATCAATCTACTACCTAATTAATATATGATACTATAATCATATGATACTATAATCAAATCTTTCCTAATATTTACAATAGCAAATATTTCCATAATATCAGATCACATATCTTCAACAGTCCCAAAGGCAATGGCTTTGCCCTAAATCATATGCAACATATCTGCATCTGTATGGGAGAAATGAACAACTAAAACAACCAAGAATTCTTAAATAATCCTTACCATCCAAGTCTAACACAAGAGTGGTTGAAGGGCAACTCCGTGTCTGCTTGGGCAATAGCATAGGCCGAAATTTTGGGACAACAGAATGCAGGTCTGGCAAATTCTTTACAAAAAAGTATGGATCAAAGTCATCAAAGTCTTCAACTTCCTCATCATCATAACATATATCGGCAGACAACTGTTCTTGATTATATTCATCAACACATTCCAAATTTGAATTTTTCATGGAAAGATAAACTGAAGAAATTTCTGATGGTAGAGCACCTCCAAAGTCTGTGTAGCAGTATCACACTATCAGTACAAAGGGAAAAGCTTGAAGAATTATTCTTATGTTTCATAAAACATTTAATGCCTTCTCCATTACCTGGGCAAGTAAGATTCATTGAAGTGAGTGCATCCTGATCAAAACTCTTCCCTTGAATCACATGTGCATTTAGCAAATCAACCTGCAGGTTTTCTTTCCCATGGTCCTGGAAATGCTGTCCTCCATGCTGGAAAAACTTGAAGAAGTCTGATGGGAATGGGAAGTCATGAATCAAGCGTTTAATGAAACCAAATAAGAAATATTACTAGAGATCTTGTGCAAAGATGTCATCAGAACCATTATATGTCTTAATCAGAGACAACGAAAGAGCCATAATACAATGAAAGCATCAAGCTCTACTTCTACCTGCATTTGCAATTTCCCCTCCAATGCTTCTTGAAATATGGAAGCCAGGAGAAAATATAGTATCAACCACTTGATGAACTGCTACATCATCAAAACCCTGCCATATGCAAACAATTCCAAACAAATTATCCAAAACAGTTGATTTCTTGATTTCTCTAGGCCTACTAATGAGAAAGCTATTATAATATTCTGATAGCAACATAATCCAGTCAGACAAATCCTGGCATAAAATTTTTGACGGAAACCATTATGCTATTTATCATACAGTATAACGTCCAATGGGAATCCATAAAACATAAAGGAACTAAAGATAAGTCTTGTCAATATCACTATATTTCACTATTCACCATACCTTTTTCTTGTCATCATGGCCTAAACAAGCAGTGAAATTGTCATCATTCACCAAACCTAGTGTAGTATCCAAATTTGTTGCAGCAGCAAACAACTCTGTGTTTTCCGGGAGCTTTCTAGCTGAAGAAGCAATACGTCTCATTTAACAATAGAACACATAACAGAATGAAAAAGTGATTCAATACACAAAATTACCAGTTTTTTGCTTCCTTGTAGAAGAAGTAATTAGCTCTGCAACTTTCTCTGCTTGAACCAGCACGTTGTCAGATACCTTTTTCTGGAGTCTTGAAGCTTTTGGAGTGGAGCCAGCAGTTCGTCCACCACCTTTCTTCTTGTTTTGCATCCTCAATTTGGAGAAGTGTATCTGGGTGCAAAAATGACTTGAGACAACTGAATTTGTAAGCATACAAAATAAAATCTTGTATGATTACTTTGTCATTTTGTATATTTTATTTTGTATAATGACTGTCTAAGAAAATCATACTAAGAACACAGAGAAATCATTATCACTAATGAACAGATGCATTAGCCCAGGTCATTCTGGTTAAGCATCTCCTATCTCCTTCACTGAGTCCAATTTTGGTCAAAGAAAGGATATTCCAAGTCAAACACAGACAAAAGTCCAGCCCAGCAATCATATAAAAAAGAATAGCAAAAAATGCTCCAATTGCATCGAAATAATCAACCTTCAAATCAAACTCCATGGCCTCAAAGCCTTTCTACATTATTTGGATTGTATCGAAGTTTGAAATTCCAGATGAACAAAGTCATATTTATCTAAGAATTTTGGGTATCATTTTCCATACACATGAAATCACCTCAAATTTTTTGACACACAGTTATTCTTGAAGAATTCTGTTTAACTAAAAATAGCTGTTCGAGGATTATTTATTCGAATAATGATGCTTTGATTGCAATGCTAAAAAATATTCTTAGATATATTCCTGTTCCTTAAACAGGACTCATCTTTTTCTTCTTCTTTTGCCGTTGTTCCTTCTTCTGTGGCTACTGTTGTTCTTTTTGGTCCCAAACTCCCTCCAGTCTTCCCTATCCTCCCTCCTTTCCTTCTTCATCAATTTCTCTAAGCATATACGAGAATGGAAGAACAAAAGTAGAAGAGCAGCCACAAAAGCAGACCACACGTGGCGCCTGCTTCAGCATCTTTCACTTCCAATAATTCCCTCTCCACACCCACATTCAATATCAAACTAGCACAGCACAGGTGCCTTCTAAGATTTGCTGTATCAGTCAAATCCCAGCAGCTTGAAAATTGCACTGGTAAGATGTTAAAGTGGACTGTGGGGCAGAATAATGTTGGTGTTGTGGTCAGGGCGTATTCATGGCCTTCAAATGCAAAACTAAGTAGTAACAAAAAAAAAGCCATCCTCACCGTCGTCGTCATCATCATCATCATAGTAAAGAGAAAAATCTTATCAATACTAAAAACCAAGGATACCAACAAGAAGAAAGTGCAGGGAAACAATCAAAAGGGGGGGCAGTAAGAAGTGGATAATTACAGAACTAGAGTTAGTACTACCAATGGTAACCTTGGAGGCTGTGCAAAAAAAAGTGAATAGGTTGTTCAGTTGGAAAAATATGGAGAAGGGACTGGAATAGAAGGAGCGGGGAGGGTGTAAAGAGTTTTGGAAAAAGAAGAAAAAATTGTGGCAGAGAAAGAAGAATTAAATTTGTATGAGAGAGAAAAACCAGCAATGTTTCTATAACTTCCGATAAAAGTATGAATAATCGGATAAATAACCCGCCATGGTAAGCCCCAATGACTGCAATTTACTCATAAAACTGATGAATTTGGCGTTTAAAACCTCAAACCCATACTTCCCAAAGTACTTCTTTTCTAACCAAACCCTACATTAACCTGCAAATTCGTGTAACTAAATCGAGCTGGTAAGGAACTGCGATTGAGAGGAATGAAAACCAAACTTTCATTCCCTATCACCGCCTGTTTGGAATCTAAACTTACTTCAGACAAGTATTCGCGGCTCCAGCTGCTAAATTGCAAGCCAATATCACATATATGAACAGTCAAGATACAACATAGAAGAAAGAACTAAAAACCCTAACTGCCGAGTGAAAAACATCTAATTAAGTTTCAAAAAAAAAAAAAGAAAAGTCAAACCTTTCCTCAAGTTTAATAATCCAAAAAGATGCCGCTGCTGAAGTTCATATCAGTTGTTATCAGCCTTCCGTTGAGCAAACCAAACCACAGGTTTCCGCCGCTGAAGTTTAATTTTCAGAGATGGGAGAGATAAATTATAAGCAAAAAGGCACGGGTTAGCTGCAGAACTAAAGATGAACCGAAGATTCAGGGCTTTTTCCCGACGGGGATTGAAATGAAAGAAATGAGAGGGAAAATTGGGAACGAAGAAATGAAAATTACTAGTTTGGGGAGGAGAGAAATAAATGAATAAGTAAATATGATACTAGTTTTTTTTTTTTTTTTTGGTAGGGAAATACTTGTGCAAATAATCTATCGGGTTTCATAAATTTCGGAGTCTGTCTTACAAGTTCAAGTTCAAATTCAAGTTCAACTCGCGCGACTATAGTTTAGTCCTTACTCGCTTCTACTGGTGCACATGTGTGCTCCTGTTGGGGAGCGTGAATGTTTGGAGAGTGGAACTAGCGAGTAGCCATCCAGTTGTGTTTCTTGTGGAGCTATCTTTTGCGCTTTCATCTCTGCAATTATTTTTCGGGGCTTGGTTCTTCTAAATCCAGTGGTTACGCAAAAGGGCATCCTTGCACTTCCCTAATTCCGAGTGGAAGCCTTTAGGTTTCATGATTTGCAGCTTTTCCCAATTTCAGTAAAATTCTTCTTCCTTTTGAACTCGGCGTTAAGAATTTAAAGATGATTTCCCCAGTTTTTAAGCAAGATGGGATGGATAGGGATGATACATATATACTTCATCAGGTTCAACATAGATACTACTGTTAATATTCTTAGTGAAAATGACAAGATTCAGGATTAATGTCACCATAAAAAATGTTCGTTAGATAAACATACTTTTTTTATTTGATAAATGTTATTTGCATTTCATTTTTTGTTAAATATACTCTGATCATTTGTTTTATTATGTAGCCTAATAAATAAAAATTATATGATAAAAATAATAAGAGAAGTGCGATTAATAAAAATAGGAGTATAAATAACATTATTCTTTTTATTTTTATCGCTCACTAAATTAATCTCTATCTATCATAAAATTGAGTCTATGTATGTTAAAATTCGCGATTTTACGACATGCAAAGTGATACAGATTCCTTATTTTCACAAGAAGCATTTGGAACCTCAATATTAGATCAAAATCATTTAATACAAATCTTTTATTCTTGCACCAAAGAATTTTGTGCAAATTTCAAGGACTGGGTAGGCAACAAAATCAGGAAATGGCAATTTGTCCACAGACACCTGTACACTACAGCCGGTCAATAGTTAAGTTGATGTTTAATGAGGGGTCTCCTCGTGGGGAGAATCTTCAAATATTTGAAAACCTTCCCAATAAAAATTTCACTCAGTCCGGGTGCGTGACGCACCAAAGCTTTGTCCCGTTAAATGAAATTTGAATTTGAATTACAGGTATCCAATGTTCACGGGCGCCAAGGTATCTTTTTTTTTTCCCCCCAAAGCCGGTGCCCTATAAAACGACTTGGGCTGGCCAACTTATGGGCTTTCGCACACTCAGAATTTGCAAAATTGAGTCTATAGTTTTTGTGGCCCGTAGCGTTTATGGCAAACAGTACCAGACACAATGAGCACGTTGGCCCTAAAGGACTTGACAAAGTGAGATTAAGCGCGGTTCATCACTAGATACTGCCTGACTTGATTACCATTTAAGCAAGCTAAACCTAGATTTTAACGGAATCAAGTTCTAGTTGAGCTTAAGGGACTTGAGTTTCTAGATGTCAGCAAACTTTTTTCTTTTATGTAATCGTGATCCTTTTTTTTTTTTTTTTTTGGAAGAATAATCACGGTCAAGTTCAATTTCATTAGGACATAAAGTGAATACTACGTGAACTTTTGTTCAGTCAAGTTTGTTTGAAATTTTATTGAACTGAACTAGAGTGGAGATCGAGTAGCTTGAAATTGTTGCATGTAAATTTCACTTATATGCCAATCGACTCGACTTTGAACCGAACTCGAAAGTTTATTGAATACAAAAGGCTATATAAAATTAATTCAATTAGTTGGCGAACCAAACTCTTACTGAATCGAGTTTGATTCAAGCATTGAGTAATTTGATTTGTCTTTTGGCCTTGACCATACTTTTGAGAGGATCAAAGAGGATTGCAAGTGAGAACCAAAAACAGAAGTGTGAAGAAATGGTGGAATTTAAAATTTGTCCAAAAAAAAAAACTCACCCCAAAACTAGAGAGAAATGTACAACAAAATGATAATGCTCAAAAGTCCCAAAAAAGGGACAAAAATAAAAATAATTCCTCACACCCCTTCTCTCATAGCTTTTGTCTTCTTTTTTTTTTTCTCTCTTTTTTTAAATATTCCAAACTAATGGTTAGTTAATTGATGACAAAATCGTGAGACCACATCCTCCCAAACTATTGCTTTTTTTTTTTTGTTCGTGGTGGGGGGGGGGGGGGGGCTCCTATGCAAACATCTAAACCCAAGCATCTACCATTTATATCTCCATCTTCAAACAAAAGATTCTTTAAGGTTTGAATTTGGGTGATGCAATCAATAATTTTCTTGACTTTGAATAGCATAGTTTGATTCTTTCCTTAGCAATTCGGAACGAAAAGAGTACACTGATTATCTCCTCCTCTTGATTGAAACTCGAGTACGTCTTTCCAAGTCAAACGTTCTCAATGTTCATTGCCAGCGGAACAAGATTTTCATTTTAGATTACAGACTCAATCTGGCTCAAAAAAGGATTTAAAAAAAAAAAAATTGTGCCAACATCAATTTAAAGAATGAGTCTGTCACCTTTCATCCTCCTCATCGCAGCAACAGAATAATTTATCCATGCAATATTGAACTTATTTTCCGACGGCTGTGAAAGATCAGAACTTTTGTGCTGTGTTATCTTGGGAAGAGGATCATGATTTGGTGACTTATTTGCTTTATCAATTGTCATGAGCTGGAACAAAGTCAATATCAATTTCCATAGGCAGATACGTACGGAAAAGGCACCAACGCCTATCATGTATGAAGAAAGCTAATCCATTTGTTTAGCTTTTTCGAGCAACAACACACTTTCAAAGGTTCCCTTTTTATTATTTTCTAAAGCCGCAAGATCCCCCACTAATAACAAGCAAGTGTACGGATCATCTTATCTCATGCTTGAGAGAAAACACACACACACACACACCCAATATATATATATATATATATATATATTTGTCCATTGATTGGGGCGCTTATTCTGCGTTTGGCTTGATTTTTCTCCAAATTTGCAGTTGAAAAAGAAAAAAAGAAGGGTGATCGGAAGTAAAAGATTGTTTCTGTTTATACAGTATACAAAGATACGTATATACTTCTAAAGTAACGTTCTGCAAGCATATATATATGGTTTAGATGGCTTCTAAACTTATAAAAAAAAAAAACCCAAAGAACACACGAGTAAACATCAAATAACAACCGGTCGAGAAAAGAGTTTGAGAGGCTTAATTACAAAGAATAATAAGAGTTTGGGAGCATGTCAATTAAATTTAATCACAATGTGAGCAGGGGGACGAGATTGGAAGCAAGATACTAATAAATTTAATTAAACGTACTTGGAATGGAGATATGGTTGGGGATCAAATTCAAATGGAAGAGAAACACACAGGTGGGTATACACAGGAATCGCATATTGATACGGCAAAAGGATACTTTAATGTCATCATTTGAGTTTTGTGGAATGGGGAAGGATGGCCAATAACTGGAAAACAGCAACACCTCCCCGTGCCCTTTTTGAGTATTTTGAAGCTTGGAAGTTTTTGATCAGGATGGTCCCCCACCCCAGCTGATTAACCACACCTTTAAAAATCTAAAGTGAATAATCGAATGGAATAGGGTAAGCTGGGGTCTGAGAGCTGTTGCCATCATGCCTGGTTGGATCACAGGAGTTGGATAAAGGAGGAAACTTGAATGAATGTAGCAGTAAAGCCGAAACTTTATGTCTATGGTGCAAATATATCTGCCGCAGCATACTACTAATAAGAAAAAAGATCAGTCGCAATACTACACACCATAGCAAGCAAACCATATAATGCCCTACGGCCTAGGTTTTGCTTTGTCTTCACGAGATTTCGTCCCATGCAAGGATGCAAGGAACAATAAGGACGCTTGTAATTATTATTTAATTAATAATGCTGAAGCATCATCGGGAAGAGATAAAATTCTAGTGATTAAAGACGAGGTCCAAAAAGGCTAAAGCTAATGTATCTTTTTTTCTTTTTTTTTTGTCAATTGTTATCATCAACACCAACTCCTATTCTAATTTTATTCTTGAGAGTGATTCGGCAGAGTCTCAGATAATCGATGAAAATTGAACCACAATCGGAACATACGAGTGTATTATTCACCCGCATGGATCTAAGAGAAGCGATATTAAATATCAACTTTGATGGGAGACAAGATTTGAATCTTTGACATCCCACTCCACAAGATATGTGACGGTCAACTAATTTAGAGGTAATTAGTTACCTTTTCTATAAACTCGGTGAGTGAGCGTGCTTGAGTAGGAGTTTATTTAAAATATTATTTGAAATAATTACCGTAATACTTATTTGGAATAAACTACTTTGATAGTTTTATTTTTTTTCACACACTTCAAGAAAAGTTAGTTAACTTTGTTGGAAAAATAAATCTAACTTACTATCTTCCTAAAATATCCTAACATTAAATTAAATGGAGTATGACTAATTAGCTTTACATTAAATGAGTTAGGTTATACTCAATAACAAACTAATATATTAAATAAGGACATTTTAGAGAGGTTATAAATTAACTACATTGTTCAATTGAAAAGTGGAGTATAATTTGGGACAGATAAAAAAAAAAAAATCAATCAAAGTGGGACGGAGGGAGTATGATATGCGAAATAAAAAGTTTGTTGGAAAAATAAAAAAAATGCTTTGAAAAGTGCGATTGTACTGCAAGCAAATAAATTTTATACACATAATAGCTATCCAAGGTTAGCCGCCATGAGAGTCAACTGAAGTAATTAAAAGTCGTGATGTTTTCCATGTAATTGAAGTAAAGAAATGAGCTCATGATCTGTGTTCGATTACTTGGGGAGTAAGAGTGGCATGCTTCAAAGTATTTGCTTGTCCAGCTAGGACGCTAGCACATAATTATGTACGGTGGCACCGGAGGTACAACACAAGTGATAATCCAGACACATTAATTTATGAAGTCTTTTTTGATTTTATGCATTGCAGAACAATCACCGAAA